ACTGAAATCAGTGTTTTTGTGCGTTCTCACGTTCTCCGTGGCGTGGCCATGCTGCAATTTCCACAAAATAACGTGGCCCTACCCAGTGCCGCACACTGATCACTGCGACAGACTACAGAGTTTATTTCCACGTAGGACTCAACCTCTTCGTGCTGTGCTGTGTCGTGCGTGATGTGCAGTGTTTTGATGATGATATGTGGTGTTTATTGGTGCAAGGGCCATCTGATGGCCAAAGAGCGCCAATACATATTACAAAAAATGTGGCCAATGGGTGTGAAGACCAGCTGTATAAAGGCCTAAAGTTCCTTGTGCAAATGAATAAAAACACGACAAAGTACCTTTGTTAGTGGAACATATCATTTTACGGCACGAATCACAATTCAGATACTAAAAGTATTATAATTATTCCAAGCTCATCAGTGAAACAAGGAGCCAAGGAGGTGCTTAGGAATGTTAAAGCTTCTGCTTCAAACATGCCCCCCCCCCCCCCCCCCCGATCTTCAGGAGAATAAAAAAAAATTGTTGCAATCCGTACATTCATCAATTGACGCACAACATCAAGAAGATTGTGCAAAAAGCTGATGGAAAGATTTTTTTTTTTTTTGCAGCCAGGCAAATTTGCGTCAGCGTGCGAAAAGACGAACTCAAACTGTAAAGAAGAACATCTTGTAAAAAGGACCACCAAGGCAGCTATGTAAACGGAATTGAGGGTGTTGATAATTGCATTCATTAGCATGTAACTGCAGGTATATCGGTCAAACAGATTGCTGAGAAACAATCTGTTTGACCCATATACCTGCAGTATACAGTATGTTATAACAACAAGAGAAACAAAATGGCCCTTTTTTGCAAAAAATGTGACTGCAAACCTGAATTTCAAGGTTGCAGAAGTGAAACAACTCGCCTAATCAATGAAGCTCACAAGATCTCACGTCTCAAAAACCAATGCATCAGCATGACATTCATCTCTTTATCAACCAAAGAAATTATGTATCTCACTGGTAAGACACTTGTGTGCTCATTTTGTCGTTACTTGGCTTTATAATACAATGGGTGCTAGAAGTTGGTATAATTAAGGTCCCATTTCTTGCCAAAAAACTCTTGTTTGTACTTCGTCTGTCTTTTTGAGTTCCTTTTTGTGTGCTTGTTTTTTTGTGTGCAACAGCCCGCATCAAAATTTGGCCACCGCCAAAGAAGAATACAGTAGAATCTCGATGATACGATCACGGCTGATAAGAAATTCGGGGTTATACGAATTTTTCTGTGGCCTCAGCCGAGGCCCATTAATTTACAATGTGCTGGAGCACGCTTGCTATAAACCGACTTTTTACCCGAGTTGTTCGATACAAATAAATGCCGCCCCAATGACGGCCGCGGAAGTAAGCAGCATGAAGCACGCACTGCAATGCGTGCTGCACTGCTGGTCTGGCACGTTGCCAGTGTCGCCGTCAAGCGGCGGGCGACTGACTTTAATATCTGTGCGATCTCGGACGCCTGAGGTGCGCCAGTGCACCTTTTGCTTTCACTTGAAGGCTACAGATGGTGCTGGACACGGTGGGGACACAAATCTAACCCTATCTAATCTCTGTTCTGCCTGGTGGTAGGTGTTCTCTGGTGCTGATACAATGGGTACTGTAGTGCAAAGGCTGTCGACACCGTCTTGCCCAGTCGAGCACACGTACTTGGTTTGTTGTGATTGTGCCTTTTTTCGGAGCCGCTGCAAGCTATGTGTCGCAAGTCGAGGGCTCTCTTGCTTTAAAAGTAACTGGACATTCTTCGAAAGGTCGATCAGTGCCCCAAAAGGAAACGCACGGTGTTGGCTAAGGAGCTAGGCCTCGCAACGTCGACATTGAGTAGAATTGTTGGACAGCGGGGCACAATAATGAAAAATGTACTTTCGTTCAGCGTCAACACAAAACAAGCGAAGACAGCCCAACACATGAAGCTTGAACAAGCTCTTTCGACCTGGTTCAAAGAGGTTACTGCTGCCAATGTGAACATTGACGGCAAAGTTTTGCGTGAGAAAGCCGACGAGATCACACTTTCTCTGCACATCAATGAATTTCAAGCCTCAGGTGGGTGGCTGCACCGTTTCAAGATGAGACACAATCTCGTTTACAAAAGTGTCTGCGGGGAAGCTAATGATGCTGACGAGACCGTTGTTAGCGAATGGCTCGCGAAGCTGGAGTCACTCATCTCGTGTATGAGACTCATGATGTTTTTAACAGAGATGAGGCGTTGCAATCAAACTGGTTAGGGAAATTGGTCTGTAATTGAGAGGGGACTGTGTGTTACCAGACTTGTGCAGAGGGACCACCTTCCCCACTTTCCAGTCAAGCGGCAAAGTGGAGGTCTGAATAGATTGTGAAAAGATTAGGGACAAGTAAATTGATGAATACAATGCAGTGTTTTTTAGAAACTTTGAGTTGATTTCATCTACGCCACAAGAAGAGGATAACTTAAGCTTGTGAATTAAATTTTGCACTCCAACGGCATCAACGGTAACAGGATACATGGGTAAAAAATCACGACTAGGCATTTGTGGCAACGCAGAAGCAGAACAACTTGAAAAAGAAGTAACAAAAAAATCATTTAATGCAATGCAACACTCTTCACAGCGAACTGGCTGCCCGTCTGAGTTCGTAAGCGAAATGTTTTTCTTTTCCCTAGGTTTAACAGTTTTCCAAAACTTAGAAGGGTTGGTTACAAGAATTGAGGGAAGGGTATTATTAAGAAAAACGCGCTTGGCTTCCTTGATAGCTGCTCTGTATTCGGAAAGGACAGATTTGTACACGTGCCAACGGGCGAACGAATCAGTCTGCTTTGCCTGACGGAACAACCATTTCTTTTTATTCCGCAATTTTTTTATGTCAGTTGAGAACCAAGGGGGGCGTTGGCGACCCTTGATAACGTATGTGGGAATGTATCGCGTGATTAAAGATTCAACTTTCATTTTGAACAAGTTCCAGTTTTGTTGAACACTGCGATCAAAGAAGCCATTAGCAAAGCTCTCAAAATTCGATTCGAGTTCACTGTTGATTGAGTCATAATCGCCGCGTGAGTAGTCTCTTATTGTTTTCCGATTGTTTGACCGATGCCTTAATGAACCTGTTAGATTGAAGTGCACGAAACAATGGTCACTTATGCCTGGGATATATGAAATAGAATGGACAAGGTCTGGTACAGTGGTGAGAATCAGATCAAGAACATTTGATGAAGTGGGGCCCATTCTTGTTGGCTGCGTTACGAGTTGGGTAAGGTTAAAGTCTTCGCACAGTTCCACGAAATGTAAACTGTCGGCTGAAAGTGAGCTTAATGAACAAGAAGGAAGTGACCAGTTTATTTTCGGGTAGTTAAAATCGCCTAGAAGAAAAACAGGTGTATGCGGGTGCCTTTTGACAATATCATTCAAAGGATCATGCAGTTGCTCGCAAAACACTGGCGTCGCACTCGGAGGGCGGTAACAGCCACAAATTATGACATTTTGATAGTTGACATGGAGGGAAACACAGACAAATTCTAAAGGTGATGCTATTACTACTTGGCTAGAAACTATATAATCAGCTACGGCTATAAGTACACCACCTCCTGGCGATTCTTCTCTATCACATCTGTAAATGGTATAATTATTTTCACAATCGAACAGCTCTACACTTGCAATGTTAGGGGTAAGCCAAGTTTTCGTTAACACTACAACATTGGCGGCGCAGTCATCAAAAATTGAAGATAATGCATCCCGTTTGTTAAGAACACTTCGTACGTTAGAATATAAAACTGAGTAGTTACGATAAGTGGCCGAGGGGTGAACTTTGTTAGGATAAGAGCGTATCTTCGTCGGCATGCGTAGCGGAGGACGAAGCTTCTGATGAGTTCTGCGCATGTGTATGCGGCTCACAAACGCTGTCGGTCACCGGAGAGTACACAAAGCACTTTTTGTTGATGTAAAGCTTATTGTACTTGACGGTATACTTCTCGCCACTCGCCTTGCCGAATTCAAAAAGCTTCTTGCGCACGCTTCTTGTTGCGCGGCAGAAATCCTCGCTGATTGACACATGAGACTCGCGAAAACTACTTCTAGACTGCAGTATGCTTTCTCGCAACTTAAAAGAAGCAGATTTTATGATCACTGGTCGAGATTTGCCAACTACGAATCTGCCTAGCCTGTGCGCGCGGGATATGCGGTCGTCGCTACTTCCCAAGTTTAGCTTCAGAGCTTCATTGAGGATTTGGCAAACTTTTTCTTCTGATTGCGCCCACGTTTCCGAATCGCAATCTTCTATTCCATAAAAAATCAAGTTTTCTCGGCGAGAGCGATCTTCAAATTCGTCAAGGCGCTTGTTGACCGAAAGTACCTCTGGTACCCGTTGACGATTCGGCTCGCTGTCTGAGACCCGGACACATTCCTCAACTGCGCATAATCGGTTGTCTAATTCTGCCACTTTTTGTTCAAGAGACACTTGCGCCTATCTAACTTCGTTAATGGATTCTATAAGTTCTTCGTGTTTTGCGTCTATCTTAGAGTGCAGCCCCTTAATCAACGAGATTAACTCGTTGTATTGCTTCCCCGTATCTTCTTTTGGCGGGCCTTTATGGATTCCAGAGAGGTCTGCTTAGTGACTTCACGAAAAAAAAAGAAGCAGAAAGACATCAGAGATTTTTTCTCCAAAAAATTAAAAACATCAGAGATTTTTTCTCCAAAAAATTAATTTTTTTTGAGTGCCTAAAATTAGTTTGCCTCTGACTCAGTGTTAAGTTGGGTAGTTTTGCACGTGTCCCGATGATAGGAATTTGGGCTATTACGAATATTTTTTGTGACCTTGCGAGACTCGTATCATTGAGATTCTACAGTAAAAAAAAAGCAACTCAAGAATTCAGGGAATAAAAAAACAAAAAACAAAACATGCATGAGCACGAAACATGGCAGCTTTCTTCAAAGCATGGCACTACATTACAAAGCCTTAGCAGTTTTAGTAAAAAATGTACAAGCCAATATGTCCTACTTGTGCTCCACAGGGTTGGGTGCTGGCCAGACTTCGGGGTCTCGTGGTGTGAACCAAGAGTCCGGCTCAAGGTCATCCTCATAGTTAATTCGACTTGTGGGAATGCGTTCAAGATGGCTGTCCGAGCGAAATCCAGTCAGCACCACCTGGATGTCCTTGATGTACTCGTATTCCTGCGCCAGCTCTTGCTGAATCTGAAAGGAAAGAATGCTGTTGCCGTACAAAGAAAACCTTGGATACATGTATGTAGGCGAATACGACTAGTTCATGGAGCTGTGGGCTGCAGGCTTCGTCCCAGGTACTTGCCCCAGTCATGATCATCACAGTGAAGTGCAGCTGCACGACAAGGGGTGTGTACACCATGAACGCCACCACGATGAACCAGACTGCACACTGTTTGGCGCTACGGTGATTGCTACGATGGTGCATGAGAGGGCTGTCAGTGAGAACTCGGTCAAGCAGAAGTGAAGCGCATTCATCTTTAAAGAGTACTGACACAAAAGTTCTAAATTGTCATTTATCTGCGTCAAATGAAAGGTCAAGCCTTCAAAAGCCTAGAAAACTTACTGCTAACTGTGAGTGCACTCTGAATAAGCAATGACTTTATGCATTTGAAAGATAGTTTCGATTCCTACCACACTCCAACATCAAAACACGGTGAGCGCTTGCGCAAGATGTCATGACGTTTCCACAGCACTTATGTATGATGGCTCCATCTATGGCATAGAAGCAGCCATTTTTTATGTTTTGTGATGCACAAGTGGCCATTTCGGAAGTTTAAAACCTGACGTTGCCACAACTAGCCAGACTGCTGTGTGAAGTCACCAGGATTAGTACTGTAGCCTCAGGTTAAACTAGTTGTGATGGTAGTATAGATGCACCACAAGAAAAATGACTAATTCTTACTTGCTCAGAGCAGAGCAAGTAGAGCTTTATACTTGCTCAGAGCAGTTTTTACATACAGTAGATTTGTATGGCAGAGTTACCTTACCTCCGAAAAATGGTGTCAGTGTTCTTGATGTTTTTCACTGTGCTGGCCTCCAGCTTCATTAACGCGTCTAAGTGCATTTTTAGATGGCATCAGATCAAACTACTTGGCTACCTTGTTAACGCTACTTGTGTCCAACCAGACCCTGACAAAGCCCAAACTGCACGCGAATTTCCACAGAAAATGTGAAGCTCTCTGGGGCTCTGCTCACATTTCCACCATAATGTCATGGATACAGAAAAGTACCTAAGGCACGGGCGCCGAAATGACACCAAATGGATGAAGACGACGATGCTGTTGTTTTGGGGCCGACCCTGAGCTGCCCTATTGTCCTGCAGTATCAAACCGACCAGCATTAACTTAATAAATACTTCCCATAACATATTTTTGGTGGAGGTTGCGGGTCTTCCAGCACCCCGACCTTCGTCCAGCCACAATGCCTGAAGACAGCACCCTGGCTGTCCATCCCACACCTACTCCGTCACCTGTGATTCCTTCCCACCTTCTTGATACTGGTACATTTTGCGGCACCAACACAACTGACGTTGACAAGTGGCTCGTATTATACGAGCGCGTCGGTAAACAATACAGACGGGATGAGATGCTTATGCTTGCAAACATCATTTTTTTACTTACGAGGTACCGCAGGTGATGATGATGATGGTGGTAGATTTTAGTGGCGCAAGGGAAACTCAGGCCAAACAGCGCTAAACATAGGGTTTTTTGTTGGTTCAATTATAGAAAAAAATCTCAGGGTGGCAAGAATAAAAGAGTGGGGCATAGGGATTAAACTTAAGTGTAATGACTATGAGTGATGAGTTTAAAATGTAACGGTCTAAACCTATGGGTTTTAAAAAGTCACGCAGTGGCGGCAGTGGTCCTTGTCAGGACAAGGAGTGCGTACTGCATGACATTTGGTAAAGAGGTCTCAGCGGTTCTCTGAGGATTGAGAGCGGGCTGAGATTAGTGAGAATATGTAATAAGTGCACGAATCCAACATCAGCTAAGAACTTTAAAACTACTTTTATGGGAAACATGGGATTGTCCGCAAGAAAAAATAAAGGGTGAGGCGGTATGTGGCATTTGTATAGCTTTGGGAAATGATGCAGTCTTTGTGGTTCAAGGTACGGACACATAATTAAAACGTGAACCACAGATAGCACATCACCACATTTTTCACAACACGGTGCAGGAGAGTTGCTTAAAAGGTGCGAGTGTGTTGCATGTGTATGACCGATCCTGAGTCTGCTCAGTGCAACCTCTTGATGCCTGTTACGTTTTTCAGGAGCATATCTACCTATTCCTGGCTTTACTGTGTGCAATTTGTTTTCAATTGCTGCGTTCCATTCCTCTTGCCATGGCTTACGCATTCGGTTACTGGTTAGCGGCCTCAAGTCCTCATATGGGATGACGACTACGTCTACTGTTGGGCGGAGTGCAGCGGACTTCGCAAGTCGGTCCGCTGCCTCATTTCCAGCTATGCTGCAGTGTCCCGGAATCCAGCATAGCGTGGTTTTAAGCTTGGATCTGTAGGCTGACATGAGGCAGTTTAGAAGGGTATTAGTCACTGGATTTTTTTGTGTCTTTGCGGAAGACAACGCAGTCACTGCACTGAGGGAATCTGTGTATATGATGGAGGCTGGTTCTTTCTTCTTTAAGATGTGCCTTATAGCTAGCAGTATGCCATAGCACTCAGCAGTAAATGTGCTGGTATGTTCATTCATTGTTGCAGATTCAGAGTACGCCGGGTCGTATGCAGCACGTGCGACGGCCGAGGAATTGGAAGCATCAGTGTAGTACTCAGCACACCTGTATTTCGCCTGTAAGTACATAAAATGCTGCTCGATTGCGACTGGGAGGTCATGCTTTCCTACCTCTAGGAATGACAAGTCGCAATTGATAGCTCACATTTCCCATGGTGCCACAGTGTCCTTGTGGGAACTTAGTTGAAGATTGGAGACGGGTATATTAAGATTTTCAAAGTGTGAGGCCACTCTGATGGGATACGTTGGCGTAGCTAAAGGTCGCCTCGTAAACAGGTGGGCGTTTCATGTATCCTGCAATAGCTCGCGCGATGGGTGGTCGACATGAGAGAGCACCTTGGTTGCATACTTGATGCTTTTAAACTGCCGTCGTCGTTCTAATGACCACTGATCTGTCTCAACATACAGGCTGGCTATTGGGCTGGTTCGGAAAGCGCCACTAGCCAGACGAAGCCCATGGTGATGCACTGGGTCGAGCATCTTAAGTGCGGATCTCGATGCTGATTCGTACACAACCGAGCCATAATCAACTTGAGAGCACTGCACTCCTGAGAAGGTTTAATAGACAGTCACTATCTGTACCCCATGACTGATGCGAGAGAATCTTGAGCAAGTTCAAGGCTTTCAAGCATTTCAGTCGCAGCTGCTTGATGTGTGGGACAAAGCTGAGCTTTTCATCCATCACAACACCTAGAAATTTATGATCCTTCTTAGTAGCAATGGTGTGTTCGTTCATTGAAATGTTGGGGGACGGCCTTATGCCACGTAGTTTTGAAAAGAGTAGGCAGACAGTCTTGTCACAGTTGAACTTAAAACCATTTTTGTCTGCCCAGCTTGAGAGCTTATTTACTGCCAACTGAATCTGACGTTCCCAGATGGCTAGGTTGCACGATTTGAAGCTGATCTGAATGTCATCCACATATACAGAGTAGGAAATCGTTTTAGGCACTATAGTGCTTATGGAGTTTATTTTTACGATGAATAGTGTGCAACTAAGTACGCCACCTTGGGGGACACAATTTTCCTCGTAAACCGCCTTGAAAGGACATTTCCAACACGAACCACGAACGTACGTTAAGAGAGGTAGCTTTCAATTGTATTCAGCATGTTCCCTGACACTCCAAGAGATTGCAAGTCACGGAGAATGCCATATCGCCATGTCGTGTCATAAGCCTTCTCCAAGTCGAAAAATACAGAAAGGCAGTGTTGTTTGTGAATGAGGGCATCCCTGACGTAGGATTCGAATGCTACGAGTTGGTCAGCTGTCGACCGGCCTGATCTGAATCCAGCTTGACGACGGTCAAGGAGGCCATTATATTCAAGGTAATACATGAGGCGGCGGTTTACCATTTTTTCAAATACCTTGCACAAGCAGCTAGTCAGGGCGATAGGCCTATAACTAGCGACAAGTGTGGCTTCTTTTCCTTGTTTGAGGATGGGTATTATAACTGCCTCTTTCCAGGCCTTGGGTAGACGCCCGGAGGACCATACGCTGTTGAACAGTAAGAGAATGACATCAAGAGTGTGTTCGTGTAAGTGTTTCAGCATGCCATATGTAATCTTGTCTTGGCCTGCAGCTGAGTTGCCACATATTGCCAGCAGTGCCTTCAATTCGTCGATGGTAAACAGAGTATTGTAGCCTCCAGCAGATGGCCTTCTATCGCGTATAGGCTTACGTTCCTCAGCAAGCTTGTGTCGTTTAAAGGAGTCTGTATAATGTGCCGAGCTGAAGATATACTCAAAGTGTTGGCCTATGGCATCCGTCTGGTGTTCCAGCGTATCACCAGCAGTACTGACGAGAGGGACCGGATGAGTGTTGTGCCCTTGAAGTGCTCTTACTCTGTTGTACACCCTATGCGTATCAGTGTAGGAGTTAACTGACGAGAGAAAGGACTGCCAGCTCTGCCTCTTTGATTCTCGTCGGATACGCCTGCCATTTGCTTTTGCACGCTTGAAATTCATCAGGTTGTCAGCTGTCAGGTACCTGCGAAATTTCGACCAAGCTTTGTTTTGGTTCTCGCGAGCTTTTTTGCACTCCGCATTCCACCAGGGCCATCGTTTGTTTCGCGTCTTGTCAATGCCTGTGGGATCGATCGCTCTGCGGCCTGTACGATATGAAGTACGACCGTTGCTTCACAGTCATCAATGTCTAGGTTTTCAATAGAAGAACGCGACAGTTCTGTAAGTTCTCGGAATTTTGTCCAGTCAGCATCCTGTTCTCTAAACCTGAATACATTTGTAGTTGTCTTACTTGTACTTCCTGTGTGTTTTAGGCAGACAGGAAAATGATCACTTCCATAGAGGTTATGAATAACAGACCATTCTGTGGTTGCCATGAGTGAAGGGGAGCCGATAGCAAGATCTATGGCTGTGTATGAGTTGCACGCTGCGTTAAAGTATGTTGGTTCTTTTTTGTTAAATATACAAGAGGAATTTTTCGATT